TGGTTGTCGACCAGTTTGATAACTTCTCTTTCCAACGCCTCTTGCCTATCGCGTCCAAGCTTTCTCCTCTTTTAGATAAATGGTTTGACAATTTTATTGATATGTAGTTTATGGCAAGCCATTTTCGAGTCAATGTCGACCATGCCCTCGTGAGCCCGCAGGAACACGTCGGCATTTTCTTTTATAAACTGGATCTGCTCTGATTGGATTGGCTCACCCAGATTTCTGCCGATGCGAAGTTGCTTTTGGCAAATCGACTTGTCAACAAAAATGATCACTACCTCTTCCATAGGCTCGGCCCGCTCACCTCATTTCTTCTCTTTGAATTGTTCACGTGTGTCGAGCTCGTCTTTTTCTCTCATGTGCTCTTTGCCCGGCCTTCTCGGGTCAATGGTTAACTCCTCTTTCGGTCGGTTGTTATCGGGGCCAGAGCTAACGAGCATCGACAGACATAAAACTGCTTGACCCTTCTCAATGGGGTCGGTAATAGGAATTTTCTGCATCGTCTGCATGGGTGATGGTAACTCGGGTAACTTTGGTTCACATTCTTCCATTAGTTTAGGTTCTTCAACATTTTATGTCGCATATATCTCTAATGAAGGAACTGCCAGGATGCATTTACGGGCTTCCCTTTGCTGCTCGGAGTAGTGAAAAATGGACATTGCTGCTCGGACACTGGACACATCATTATACTCTATCTTTTTTTTTTCTTTTTTTTTTATGATCTTGAACGTCTTTAAGATGGTTTTTGAGGTTGGGCCTTCCCCTCCAAATCGTATGGGTAAAGTGATCTCTCCTCTGGGGATGGTAACTCGACCATCGAATGGTTGGTTCTTGTCGGTACAAGATTAGATCTCTTTGGGATAAATCCCCATCTTCTTGAATGTGCTTAAGTACAACCCGCCCACTAAGATCTTGTGCACTTGTATGTGGCAGATCAGTGCCATCAGTACCAGGGCACCCAGTGCAGGTGGTCAAATAGCTCAACGTCCTTTTGGGAGAAGGTAACCAAACATGTTCAACTCCTGGTGGTTGGTTTGGGGCCCGAGCATTTAATTTGTTGTCCTGCATTATACGTCTTCCTAGCGTAAGCCTTTGTTTGCCTCTTGGAAACATTCGGTCCTCCCCGATTGGTGTTGATGAGTTGTTTGTGCAATGTCCTCCGAGTTGGTAATTGGTCTGCTCGGGATTCCTCTTGAGATGGGCTCCGACCACATTTCTTAGATAGAGAGAAGCTCACCCCTTCTTGTAGGCCCCAAGAGAAAGTCAGGATCTCAGGTGGGGGTGTCCCCAGCCTCTTCAAGTTGATCTCGGTACCTTCAGGCTCTACGCCCGCAAAAATGGACATTATATATCGTCACTCGGGTCCTCTTCTATCCAGCCTCTCTTTCTTCCTTTGGGATTATTGGTGAACTTTTTCCCCTGCGGATCTCCAACTAGCTTGAGCAAAGCAAAAATTAGCCTGAAACATTGATCGGTGTTGCGTCAAATGGATTTGTGATATGCACAATATCTAGATTTGTGAAACTGGCTCTCATTAGCTTCAATTGGCTTGGGTTGGGGATAATTTCCTTGTTCATCAACTTCTCGTACACAACCACGACACCTGTGGAGTACACACTCCTGCAGTTCGTGTTCAGCTCCTCCTGGTATTACTTTATCTGGGCGAGTCGGGTGTCTTTCGATGGATCTCGACCTGCTTTTATCTCTTTGCCTTTTGCTGTTGTCCCTCCTGGTACCTCAAAGGTCGTTACTGGCATGGATTCTTTGGTTATGACGTGCTGCTAGGCTTGGGACATAAATTTTTGATAGGTGGTCGGTTTGTTCTCACACAATGACCATTTGAACATTGAGATTGACTTCAAACCCAAGTACGCCACACGACTCCATGTTCTGAACCAATTCATTTAAATGGTCGACATCATCCTTCAAGATCTCATTGGATCCTTGGACGATATTAGTGATGGATTCCATTGAGATCATACAGACCTGGGATCCGATGAAGTAAGATTGGAATACCGACTTCAATTGTTGCTACGTTGAGATGGAATGAAGGTATAGTGAATGGTACCATCTATGGACTACGGGCCACAGGGTCAATGAAAACATTCTGCATTTAAGGCATCCCCAGCCCCGTGCAGATCCATTCATGAAGTATACAGTCCGAGATGGGCGTCCAGATCCGAGCTGCCATCATAGAGCCCGATTTGGGGTATTTTGATTTCTTTTTCTTCAGTAATGGGCTACGTAGGACGTCGGATGATAGTGGTGAGGCCGTGTCCACAACACGGTCGGCAACGAATAACACATGAGACAAAGTATGCCCTTTCTTTATACTTCTACCGAGCTTCGAGCTCGAAAAATCTCTTCCTGAGGATTGCGACCTCCTCAAAATCACGTCTAATCGATCGATAGCTCAAGATTTTTTGCCTGAGGTCTTGCTCGGCCTCCTTCTTTCTCTGTTGAGTGAAGATCGACAGGTTGGGGGATTTCTCCTTGTGCTTGGTGGTTGATCTACTCTCCCATGTCTCTTCAGTATGAGCTTCCTTTTTTGTTGCAACATCTGGAGATTGGGTTACAACCCTAGACTAGGATAGTCTCTTATCTTTATCTCCGATGGGGTTAGCGTCCTTTTTCGTCGGGGTTTTGAGCAAGTCATTCAGCGGCGGTGGCACATGGGATACTGACGGCAGGATTCGAGTCACGAGGCTTGCCATGCCCTTGAGAAATTCTGGGTCTTGGAACATTGACGTGAAGTCAAAGGCGGGAGGCACCGTACGCGGCTGTTCCGTCGTCTGTGGTTGGGACTCGCCTTCATGGCTTGATGAGGACATTGTTTTTTGTGGATTTGTGGTGGTGTTACTAGTTAAAGTTACTCTAAAACAGATGATGGAGCCCTCCTTCTAGCGTCAATATGTTGTTATACGAAATTTGTAACAACGGTTTAGGAAAATTCTCTAAGTATGTTAAATAGTGAATGAGGTTGGATGACCTGTATTTTGTATTGTAAACAATTCAGTTTCTTTATAAAGCTTAGGAGTTATTCTAGAGAGAGAAAGAGAGAGAGAGAGAAGTCGAGCTCTTCGCGTCTTGCTTTATCACCAAGCTGCTTGCTTCGCCGATTTTCCTTCACGGTTATGGGCTGACCTTAAGGCGAGGAGCTTGGGTCCTTTGTGAACTTTCTTCAACGCTGAGCTCATTACCCGATCAATTTTATGGTCGTAGGCCGATCACGGGATGAAGAGGTCAACTGATCTTTTGCTTTAATCTTGATTTCAAGCTGAGCCGTTGCCTGTTTAGTCGCTGAGTAAGGCCGGTTTTTTCTGTGCGCTTTTACGTCGGATGGTCGTTTAATTCAACCACGTGTTAACTGATTAGAAGTCAAGAGTTCGAATGTCGACAAAGAAATTGTTGAAAATTCTTAACAAAAAAAGGAGAAAATGCTAAAAAAGAAAAAAAAATTTAAAAACTAGGAGTATGGATTTTTTAGTATTAAACAATTTTGCCAGAAAATTACACACACTATTTGTAAAAACTGCTAATCTTGATAGATTGTAAAATAAAAATACAATCCTACTGGTACAGTTACTAGCTAGTGAGCGTATAAATGTACGTATATAAACTATAAAGTACACCTTTAATATATGAATCTTTCATATGATAGTAAATTAACCAATAGACTGGAAAGAAAATAGACAAAGACATAATTAATTAATGTTAAACAGTTAGTCCAAATTAGGAACGAACCCTACCAGAAATTCTTCCTTCAAGTAGGGTAGGTTATGAGTGTGAGCAAGCACACAAATGCATGGCCCCATATACTTTTTTCCTTGTCTGACGATAATACCTTGGAAATTTCCTAGAAAACAATTTTAATTTATCAAAAAACAAAATTTTCCCCCTTATAAATACATGTAATAAGTTGTAGGCTCTTTGACCCAACTTACCAGGGCCGGCCCTGACATTTTTGGGGCCATGGAGAAAATTCGGTAATGGACACTTTCTTCAACACATACATTTAATTAAAGTGAAAAATAATAATAGACAAACACATAAAAAAAGAGTCTGGGAATCAAACAATGAAAATAAAACACCAAAATTATAAAATATAATCGAGAAATATAACCTGATTTATGCCTTGGATAATGATCTTCAAACCCAAAAAACCCTAATAATTGTAGTAGGTATCTCGGTTGGGTGTTTCACTTTCGCGAATAAATAGAAGAATCAATTGAAGACTGAAAAGAAAGGCTTAATCGTCGAAGTCGTTGCTTCAAATTGTTTATCGCTACACTCAAAAAAATTTCCGCCCGTTAGAAAGTACAACTTGGAAATAGATGTAAGGAAAAAGAAAAGCAAAGCACGGTGCTATAAAGATAGAGAGGAGTATAGTGCACAATGGTGTTTACGAGACGGAAATTATATTACTCTTCATTCCTAAGTATCCTTGTTGTCATCTTAGCCTACCACTTTTATATTTTTTTTTTCTTTACCTACCATCTTTATCTGAGCGTGGGAAGTTGTGTGGAAATGTTAGATGAGGAATATTGATGGAAACATTATTTTGATATTCTCTCCACTTGCCTTTCCCGTTGCTTCCAATTCCAAAAGAAAAAGTGACTTTGATTTTTTTTTTTTATTGCTTATGATTATTTCCTTATATGTGTTTGGGCTTGGGCCAATAAAAGCTAATTTTTTTGTGGGCTTTTTAATTGGTAGAAAAATTCACTAACAAAAATCCATACAGATATATATTATATATAATGTATATATAAATTTTGGGCCCCAAATATTTGTGGGCCCATGGCCAATGTCCACTTTAACATTAGTTAGGGCCGGCCCTGCAATTAACTTACCAAGTTACACAAATTCCTTTTTTCTATTAAAAAAATTAACTTCATTTCCTTGCAATTTACTATTATTAGTCAAATTAATTCAAGAGAAGAACTTCAAACTCTTTTCAAATTAAGTTTGGTTTTCCTTGCAAAGATAGTTTTTTTCTTTTTTTTTTTCTTTTCTTCTTTAGTACAAACATGAATGGTTTGCCTGTAGGTTTTAGGTTCTATCCCACTGAGGAAGAACTTGTTTCATTCTACCTACAAAATAAGCTCAAAGGTGAGAGAACGGACATCGAGAGGCTCATACCAGTCGTCGACATTTACGGCTATAATCCATGGGATCTTCCACGTAAATTCATATAAAATCCCCGTTTTTTTAATTTCTCGATATTTGTTATACTTTTGCTTGTGATCAGGTTATAAATGATGCTATGTATATATCTATATATATATCTAGGTTTTCATGCTACCTTTTTTATTTTTTGTTGATGTATATGCAATTGAAATGATACATTTTCACAAAACCCTATACTTTTTTAGAATATTGTAAACCATCTGAATTTTCCTTAGTTTATATATCTTAATTAGATTTTTGTTTATATATATGTTCCAATTTTTTTCCCCCAAACTTACAGTTTATTTTTTGCCCTAATTAACTTATATACTCACATAAGCCAAACATGATTGAACTTGTTCACTTTCCTTTTCCCTATATCATGAATAAATAGATCTAATTAATTGTTATATATACACCCTAGCTAGCATGTTATCTTATAAATTCTCAATTAAAAAAAAATGATTTATAGTCTAAAGTTCTATTGTTCATTTTTTCACATACTTTCACATCATATAATCAATTATGCAATATATATATATATATATATGCTCATAATATATAAAGTTCATATAATTTCATATTCCTCCTAACAATTTTCCTTTTTTTTCCTTGTTAATTATTATCAGAATTAGCTGGAGAAGAATGCCCTGCAGATTTAGAGCAGTGGTTTTTCTTCACACCTCGACAAGAAAGAGAAACACGTGGAGGCCGGCCAAATCGACTCACGGCAAAAGGCTACTGGAAAGCAACCGGTTCCCCTAATGATATTTATTCGTCTCAAAATAACCGAAGGATAGGAAGAAGAAAAACCATGGTTTTCTATGAGGGCCGAGCTCCAAACGGGAAAAAAACGGCTTGGAAAATGAACGAGTACAAATTGTTTGACTCGGGCCCTCTTGAATCGGGTTCATCATCTTCCTCAGCCAGTTCGAATCTACAGGTTAATTTAATTAATATTTAATCAATAACCTTGTTAATTTTCCAGTCAAAGTTAGATTTTCATGTTCTAACTTGTTTTGGCTAGACCTCTAATCTGAATTTAGCTGTTTTTAGTAAACTCTGTCGTTTCGAAAGAAAAAAAAAAAAAAAAAGCCTTTTTGTTGGTTTACACAATTGATGTCTTTAAAAAACTTATGGTCCTCTTTATTGGATGAATGACACGTGTCGTGTGACTAAACGCCCGAAGTTTTGAAACCCTAATTTTTGCATGTCTCACGTGAGGTTTTTCTGTAGCATCAATCATATATTATCTTCTTGCTATACTACTCTTTCTTTTTTATTGGACCACGTGTACAGATTCTATCTGCAAAAATGTGCAAATTAACAAGATTATTATTGAAAATTGCTTAATTTTGTGTTCTAAAAGTGATTGTTTTTATTTTTTTATTTTTTTATTTTTGCAGTTGAGAGATGAAATTAGTTTGTGTAGAATTTACAAGAGAACGAAGTGTTTGAGGGCGTTTGACAGGCGGCCGCCGGAGGCGGGCGGCGGGCGGCAGCTGGAAAATCATCCACGTCATCAGCTCGAAATTAATCCACGTCATCACGTGGTGCTTGATGAGATAGAAGTAAATAATAATACCAATTCATTATCGGGAGATGCTATCACGGGTATTATTAATCCTTCACAATCCCACACGGAAAGTGATAACAGCGCCTATTGGGATATGGCTGTTGATGATGATCAAGCGTTGCCCATTTGGGATTGGGATGAATTTAACTGCTTCGATTTGTGGAATTAATAAAATATCAATTATATATGTGATTCTGTTTTTATTTATATATATGTTTTCCAAGAAATGAGAAGGGATTTTCAGGAGAGTATGAATATTACATGATTTAGGTCTCATTATCTTGATGAACTGAAATTTTTATTTAGCGTGTGAAGAATATGGATCTATTGTGATGAATTGTTGTACTTGAAACTCGATTATATGTTTGTACCAATAATAGTTGAAGTAGTAATTGATGTTTATTTTATTTTATTTTATTTTATTTTTTTTATCTTCAATTTGATTTATTTTTCTTTAAGTTCATTCATTATTTCTTTTGTAATTTGATTTATTTATTGATGTTTGTACTGAAAGACGAGTTATTGGCTGAAATATTCGCTAATTATTACAACTAGTACGTACCCCGTGCGATACATGAGACAAATATATTAAATGAGTTATTTTCACAAACTCTGTCCGTTTAAATCTAAAAAGCAAAAGAATTATTATTTATTTTTCACCTTTTTTAATCAACGTTTAGTGTAAAAAACGATATGGTTTTAATATATTTTCTACCTGTGCTAATCAACGGTTTTTTTAGCCAGAACATTAAATATGAGCATGTTAGGGCTAACTTGTAAAATAATTAATATATTATCTCACGAACACATTTATAATAATATAAATTTGATTTTAGTATGTATATTTATTCCTTTATATAAGAAAAAATAACAGTTTTACTTATTATTGTTCGCCATATAATACTTAATTATTATTTTATTTAAACTTTGTTTTCATATAATGTCATTTTTATTTCTAAAAGTTATTGAAGTTGTACATCTTATTTTTCTTTATATTTTATGTAATGGAAAATATATAATGCACGTTAGTATTATTTATTTATGTAATCAATTTAAAATATGTAAATTGAGTTAAATTAAATAGTGTATAAATATTTTACAAAATATATACACATGTTTTATTTTTTTTAATTTAATTTTGTATACTAATTAAACAACTTTGATTTAGGAAATGCCAAAAACTCAATCCCTTCTATAATGAAAATTTTTCTAATTTTCCTTATAAGGATTTATAGTTTATATAGTATACTCATCAATGAAAATATATTTTACAATAATTTCATTATAGAAAGAAATCAAAATAAAAAAATGATAAAAAATAATCATGGTTGCCAATAATATACAAATGAATTCTAAAGAACATTTAATATATTTCAATTTTAGTTTTTGACCATTAGTAAAACTATTTAACGTATCTAGTCATTATCTCTTAAATGTTAAATTATATTAATTTGAAGAATAATTTATTTTTTATATATAACGAAATAAAACTTAAGAAAAAAATATATTAACAAAGTTTAATTCACCAACTTGATTTTGCCTGATTAATTGGAAGAAAAAATTCTACCTATCCTGTTACGATTTTTTTAAAAAAAAATTTGGATAAAAAGTTAATATTTGTGAAAAAAAATGTTCATATTATGGTTAGAATTTAAAATATGTTGTAATATTTATCATGACCAAAAATCAATCTTGTAATTTATTACAATGAATATCGATGAAATTATTGCAGATATTAATAAATTTATTTAAGGAAACAATATTTTTTATCATATTTGATTTGATCTTATTTCAAAAAGTGTATATAGAAGCAATTAATGCATATATTTAAAAAGTTTTCAAAAAAGGGTATGCATTAAATGCTCCTAAAATTTTTTACTACTATATTTAATAAATGGTTATTCTTATTATATATATATAGATAGAATATTAATGGGCAAATAATGCTACTATTAGTAGTTATTTTTGGCTCTACTTTTATTGCAAGTGGCAATACCTTCGTCCCTTATCTATATCTATATACCTATATATAAAGAGGTTGTTGGAAAAATACATTAATAGAAAGTTTGACCAAATAAATATAATGTTTGACTTACTATTAATGGAAAGTTAAAAATCTTTAATAACAAAATCTAAATCCTATTTTTTTTGGTAATAAATTTGGAGATTCTTATGGCAAAATTTGAATCCCATTTTTACCAAAATTTAAATCATATCTTTTTTGGTAACAAATTTGAAGATTCTTATGCAAAAAATGTGTCAATTATTTATGAAAACAATTCTAAATACAAATTAATTTAAAAACTGTGCAAATTAGATACAAATTTAGGAAGCAAATAGTTGTATAATTCTTAACCAATTCTTCCAATCTTATTGAATAATTTTTTCTTTCAAAAAAATTGTGTAAATTGGATAAATCCACGTTCAATTTTTATTTTAAAATAAAATTGATATTTGGACGGGATGTACATTCAAAATCGCGTCCACGTTTTTTGGTAATAAAAGCGGTTCATCATTGATATTTAAAGTCACCTTATCCAATTATTTAGGAAAAATTGTGTGCAACTTTTCAAAATTTAAATGCATCGATTTTTTTAGATTCTTATATTTTTTCTTAACCATGTTTTACTGAGATTTTGGTAAGTTCATATAATTTTTTTTTGGTTAAGTTCATATCATTTTGTTTATAAAAGAGACAGTTGCATAAATATTAATAATCTATTTTAATTTTTTATTAGAATTATTTTCAATTCAATTTGTTTGGTACAAAAATCGGTGCAATGTTAGAAAAATTCGGTTACATTTTCAGGAAAAATTGATGATTTTTTTATTTTGTTTAAAAAAAACTTCGGATCAATTTGTTTGATAAAAAAATCGGTTTATTGATAGAAAATTTAGTTTCATTTCCAGGAGTAACTAATGATTCTTTTTAAATTTTCTTAATTGAAAATTAGAATTTGATTTAAAATAAATAATAGGTGAAAATCCCTAAAAAATTTTACTTTTTTTTTTCTACTTTAATTTTGTTTAATAAATAAGATCCTTTATTTTTTTTTAAAATTTGTTAGCTAATAACTAATAATATGCAATTTTGGATAAATTCGAACACCTATGTAGTACTTTACGTGCCAAATAATCAAATCAATAATGTTGTACATAAGGAAGTGTTTAATAACATATAAATTTCATTTTCTTAAAATTTTTAATGGCGTGAGACAATTTAAATACAAAAATATCTTTTAAAAAATAAATAGGTAATAAATGCTCCCGTGCATCGCACGGACACCATACTAGTGTTTAATGATAGGGTAATGGCTAGACAATAATGTATTTTTCGTAAATATATATAAATATCATAAATAATGTATTTTTTGTAAATATATATAAATATCATAATTTAAAATACAATACAAATAAAATAATTGATAATATAAGTATGTAATTATTGTAAGAAACTATAATTTTTAACCTATATATTAATGGTTAGACAATAATCTAAACAACAATATAAATAAAAGTATAATATTTTATAATATAAGTATGTATTTTTCGTGAGAAACTATAATTATTAACTTATTAACGATTAAACTACCTAACAACAACATTTACGATGGTTCACATATTTTGTTAATGTTCAAGATTGAAGAAAAAAAAAAAAGAGTAAATGTGCAATGATTTACCCAAAAATGATCTGAAGCCAAGAGATAGGATACAATGTCATCTCTAGATCGATATATTGACACGCGATTCGAGTTTATTTATTATGGTATACACGTTAAGACATAATTTAATTATTTTATTTATTATAAATTGAATAGTTATGTCGTGTCACCTGAGTACTCTTTTCGCAAAACTTATATTTTACCACTATTAAACTATTTCAAATTGAATTAATTATAGTCTTTTATTACCATTGAAATTATATATGTTTCATGTTCCATGGTCTACAACTAGTGACATCATGAACCCTTGCTTTTCAATTTTTGGTGTTACAATACATAAATTAAATCATGTGGGTAGTCACAAGACTCACATGTTGAATAATATTGCTTGGTAAACAAACTCTTTACGTAAAGCGTGACATTATAAAATAGTAATAGTGTTATTAATTTATTTCAAACATTATCGTATGTTTTCAAATACATTCTTTATTGCTACTATATACACATTTTTCAATTTTTTATAAGAATAACGAAGATGAAGTCAAACATGGTAATTACAGTCCTCAATTTTGTCTGACCTGAATTTGAATTAAGGCAAATCTCAGTACATTGGTCAAATATCAGACTTAGTTAATTACTTTTAATTTAACACAATTAATCTCAATACATAGGTCACCTTGTATAATTTTTCTCCGACAATTTTTAAGGATTCTCCGGAATTTGTTACGCGAGACACGTGGCACACATGGGTGGGGACTCGGAACCAATTTTGGTCAACCGGGAACGGGAAATTTCTATTAGAGGGCTCAAGTTTTAGGTATTCTATCATGTTAAGATTTCAATTATTATCTTTCTCAAAACAAGATCTCAAATTTTATGTATTTTCAACTGAGGGCTCACATTTATCTTTTAACTCTCAAATTAAGGCTTATTATTAACACTGTTAATTAACAGTTGAATTAGACGTAATATTATTTTTTTTTTCTTTTTTTATTTCAAAAAGCGCATTTGAGTTTTTTGTTACTCTCGAAACCTTCGTCCTCTTTATTTCAATCCACGGTACTCTCAAAACCTCCAGTTGCGAGCAAAGGAAGGAATAGCTTTCCCGAAATCAAAGCGAGCGATCTGTTCAACTTCAAATTGTATAAAGTATGAACTTCAAATCTCAATTCTCATTTTTTTAGTGGTTTGCAATTTTTAATTTCAATTTGTCTTGATGGACAACAATAAACTCGTGATTTCGTGCCGGTGTCCGAGCTCGGGAGGCAGACGGCCAGCGTGAATGCCATCTCATGGGCCCAATAGAGCTGCAGGCTCATATGCTACGCGGGGGACGACGTGCAGGCCTGCTATGGGAGCTTCCCACGGTTGCCGGGACCAACAGGATTGACTCGATGCTGGTGTACTCGGCAGGTGCCGAGATTAATCGAAGACGAGCAGGCCCTGTTGTGGGAGTTGCCCACGGTTGTCGGGCCCAACAGGATTGACCCAATGCTGGTGTACTCAGCAGGTGCCGAGATTAATTGACGACGAGCAGGCCCTGCTGTCGGAGCTTCCCACGTTTGTCGGGCCCAATGGGATTGACTCGCTGGTGTACTCGGCGAGTGTCAAGATTAATCAGCTGCAGTGGTCGGCGACCCAGCCCGATTGGATCGCGATTGCATTTGGGAAACAATGTAGATGCTCAAGGTTTGGGGTGTAATGCTTTTGCAGGGTGTGGTGTTGGTTCACTCTTCGGATGATGGGAGTGTATATGAAGTTGAGCCTTGCTATATATCTAGGGGCATTGGATAGGTGTTGATTGTCCCTTGAATTCTGATTATGTGTTTTGTAAGATTATTATGTACTTGAACCTAAAGGTTACATGTTTCATTTCTTTGTGAGCAGGTGTTATTATCGTTTTACTTTCTTTGTTTCTATATAAGATAATGTTCGATAATGGCACATTTTGTTGGTGAACATGGTGCTCGGTTGGTTTTCGGCATTTTCTTCCGTTGAGAATATTAGATCTTTGTCATCCTGATTCTGGTTTAGTGATATGAAATTGAAGCATGTTGATGTTCTCATAAAATTTGAACAAGTTTATAATTTGATGGTAGAAGTGATACAGGCTTTGATATTGACGATTATTTTGTGACATATCCTGTGACATAAAAGTTATAGCATCTCAAATTTGTGGTTAAATAGCTTTGGTATTGATGCTTAGTTCTCCTTACTTTGTTGCTGAAGTTTTAATGGTTCTTACATGTGATGCCATGAAAGAATAACAGTTGGTATAGTATGGGTTGACTCGAACAGAAATTTTTGCCCGATTAATAGATGAATGAACACTGGCAATGTTCAACTATAATAAAAAATAAAAGTGCAATGCAATTTCTCATAAATATGAGTACCAGAGATTCCCAAAAAGTATCAGAACTACAGAATCTATAAAATGAAAGTTGGCTCAAATTCTTTCTGTAAGTTTTTCTCAATCAAACCGACACTAGGGAATTTTTATCCCCAAATTCTGTGAAGGAGTTAACCACACAGACAAATTTTCAGCTCAAATTACTCTCCAATTAATCATCCAAGGCTCATGAACATGAACTAAAACTATGACATTATCCTACATTCAATTTGACATAATTTCGTCACATTCGTGATAAAGACTGTTAGTTAATGATTGAATATATTTTTCAAGACTTGCATATACATCAACCTTATTCCAAAAATAAAGGCTAATTCTAATTTGAACGGTTAACGATATTAAACTAGTTCATTGATAAGAGAAACCATACATAATAAACAAAAAGGCGTTCATTGCAAAAAAAACTAAAACAATCTGAAGTTTAATTCATACCATACTACAAAAAAAAAAAAAATAATAATAAAAAAAAAAATCTAGCCAAATAAAAATGATGGACTCCAGTCTGTTGCAACCCCTTCTCCGTTGGATGATGTGGATTGCGGCTGTGAACTAGTGTATCTTAAGGGAGCCCAGTCTAATGTAACGATATGGTCTTCATTACGGAAAGTAGGTTCTTGTTGACTATCGGCTCCTCTTGATGGCTCTCCCTGCCAATTATTACTTAATTACAAAGAACTCGACATATAATAAATAAATGTTTTAAAAAAAAAGTTTAAGCTCACCTCCTGGTCACCCTTTGGAGTTTTACACGTTCTTTTGTTATGACCAAGATCCCCACAATTTTTACATTTTGTAGGCCCATATTTTCTTTTAGCTTTATGAGAATTTTTATCTTCAATCGGGTCCTTTCCTCTCAACTTCTTTGGTCTACCAACAGGCCTTGTATAACGAGGGGGTAAAATAGGTTCGCGATCACTCTTAGGCCAAAAGTGAGGACCTGTCATAGGATATATACAATGACCATATGTCTTCAGAAAGGTCTCTTTTTTGAAGTACTCACTTACATAATCTTCATGCTTCCCACCAATGTTATCTACTGCAGCCATAGCATGCTTGCAAGGAATGCCCGATAGGTCCCATATTCTACAAGTACACGTATGTCTCTCAAGGTTTACAACAAATTTTTCAGGCCGCCGTGATACCTCAAAGATGGACCTTTGAAAATCTCCACATGGAATTGCTGTCCATATTTTGCTATCCATAATCGAAGCATTAAGCTTTTTTAGGACATCTGGACATATTGCACAATGATTATTCCTCATTTTTTCACCCTTTTCAAACATCTTTCTCATTCTTTGAGTACGTATACCCTCAATTAATGAAATAATTCCACCACCACGATATTTTAAAATTGAACTATTGAAACACTCAACTATGTTGCTCGTAATTGCAGTGTTCTTGACATGCGATTGAAATCCTGCTTTGCTCCACCTCTCCATACCAATTTTAGTTAAATGTTTCCAAGCACCAAAACAAATCCGTTGCATTTGATTCATTTGAATATCATAGTCGATGATGGTGGTGGCATTTACTGCTGCCCAAAAGATATTTCCAGTCTGTCTATCCTTCCATTTCTTCTGAAAATTTCGAAACAAGTGCAAAACACATAACCTGTTATATTTTGATGGATAAACATCATCCAAAGCTGAATTAAGAGCCTGCCAATGAAAGTAATCAAAATCAAATTGTTGTAACTAGAAAATTTACAAACATGTGTTAGTAGTAATCAGAATCAACTTGTTAGAACTAGAATAATTAAAACTTGGTCAGTTTATTTATGTGACAAAATGACTATGAATTTTTAAAAACATACATATTCATGATCTTAATACAATTAAAACAATATATTTATTCAAAATCTTAATACAATTAGAAAGAAAGAGTTAGAAACAAAAGTAAGAGAACTTACCGACCCTTGGTCTGAAATAAAAGTCCATTTTTCTCCATGGGGAGAAATATCTCCAATGTCTTTCAATAAATGATGCAAAAACCAAGACCATGTCTCTTTAGTCTCTAAAGGAACTACACCAAAAGCTATAAGAAACAGGCCGTTATTCCCATCTTGAGCTACGGCCGACAAAACTTGGCCCCGATGATATCCCTTCAGGAAGCATCCATCAATAGCAATCAACGGGCGACATCCTGATAAAAAACCCTTTTTACATGCATCAATGCATATGTAAAGTCTTTCAAATCGAGAAGGATTTCCTGGAGCTGAAATCTCAAAGGTGGTTCTAGGATTAGTTCTCAATAATTCCTCTCTGTAATCCCATAATTGTGCATATTGCTCATCCTGATTACCGTCGATAGAATGAAGGGCGAGGTTTCTCACTCTGTATGCTTTAGATGTGCTGATTTTCACATTGAACTTCTCAGAAATATGATCTTGCAACTCCAATGCAGTCATATTTGGAAATTTACTCAAGTCTCCAGCCACTTTTTTGCTCAGCCATTTGGCATCTATGAACCTAGCTTTCTTTCTTCCTTTCTTACAATTATGTTCTTCATAGTACGTCTTCACCTCATAAGTTTCAAGATGACCAACTTTTGAGCAAAAAATTAGCCATGGACAATAATCCGAGCATTTGGCCCGACACCTTTTATTATCTTTCCTGGTAAATGACAACTCGTAGCCATTGTGTACAGCATAATTTTTCACCATCTCATAAAACTCATTAATGGAAGAGAATTGTTGTCCCAATTGAAAAGTTATTTGCCCGCTTCCAATCTGATGACATTTTGATTGCACTTCACTATCACTATCTGATGAATAAGAGTCCGAATCTCCTATTGTTCTCAACTGGCTACACGATTTTATTGGCCCACTCGACGGATCACTAGCACTTTGTGGTGGCTCTCCAAGTTGTACCTCCGGATCTTCGTCATTGATGTAAGCGGTTAAACCATCATTATCGTTATAAGAGTTTTGTATGGACATCTGTTAAGAAAAAATTTATAATAATTTCTATCAAACATCTTAATCCAAGATTAAAAAAAAAAATTCTAAATTCAATAAAAGCAATCTTGAATTCAGCATACAATCACAGAAATAGTTTTGGCATGCGAAATAAGGGAGAAAATATAATATTCCTCCATCAATTCAATTTGTATAATATCGACATAAGAAGTGAATAAAAATTAAAAGTTGTACAAATAATTTTAAAACCTAATAAACAAAAACATTGGCCAGATTATAGTTAATAAAGAAATATGACATGTGCAAGGAAAATTAAAGCTAAAAATTACAAAACATAAAAAGATAATTAGAATTGAGATTTGAAATTCATGCCTTACAAAATTTGAAGTGCAATAGATCGTTCAGCAACCTTAATCCTTCCTTTGCTCGCTCCCTTCGTTCTGTCTAGCAAGACAAGGGAGGCCTGTCCAGACGGCAAACGTTAAAAACGTAGCAAGAACTCTGAAAGTGAAGTCCTTGCTAAAGAGAGTAGTGCGAAAGTGAACGGAAGCACCGATTGAAATTGAGAGAACTCCAATTGGAGGTTTTGAGCGTAAACAAAGAAAACTGTTCGTATGCTTTTCTTTAAAAAAAAAAAAACAAAAACAAAAATATCATGTCTAATTTAACTGTTAAGTAACAGAGTTAATAATAAGCCTTAATTTGAGAGTTAAAAGATAAATGTGAGCCCTCAGTTGAAATACATAAAATTTGAGATCTTGTTTTGAGAAAGATAATAATTGGAGCCTTAACATGATAGAATACCTAAAAATTGAGCCCTCTAATGAAATTTTCCCGGAACGGAAGAGCAAAGTCAAAGAAACACACTGACGTCATTAAAAGCCAATAAAAAAAAAACAAAAAGGTGGCCAAAAAAGAAAATGACAAATGAAACCGAAAAAAAAAAAAAAATTCTGTTG